CCCCCAAATCGTGGTAACTGACCTAACACTTACAAATATTTAACCTAAATGCAACCTACGTAGCACGCTTTTTAACTACTTTCAGCTGATTTAACTCAAATGATTTCCTATTTTCAATACAAATCATCCATTCACATCCATTAAAAATTACTAAATAAAAAGTAAAACATGGGATCAAAACCATTCACATTTCATAATCCTACATATATTTCTTACTGCAACAAACCCAAGTCCTCAAACAAAGACCCAAATGCAAAAAAGAAACAACAATTCAATGGATTGAGAATGATTAATACCATTAGCTGTAATTGCCACTTGATAGTAAGCAAAACATAGCACCACCCAAGAAAACAAAGTATGGCCACTATGTGCTTGGCCTCCAATCAATGGAGTAATTAAATTTGTCGAATCATCTGCATATGAGCATGTATTGTAAAATGGAGAAATAAATGAGAGAAAAAGTAAAAAAATGATGTCATATCTGTTTTGAAACCCAATCCTCAATGAAAGCAATATTTTAAGGTTTAGACAAAGTTACATGAGACAACCTACAAAACGCTAAAACAGAATCTTATTGATGAATTTGACGGCGGCGTGACGTTGAAAGTGGCATAACCGTGTGAATCCGAGACAACCTACAAAAAATAAATCAAGACTAAAAAATGTAAATTGCCAAAACAAATGTAAAACCTATGAAAATAACAAACTCAAAAAACAAACCACTATTTAGGAGAACAACGTCACCACTTAAGTTATGTCGTCGCTAGTCATTGGAGCTGCACTACTCGTTGCCCATCGCGAAGTTCATCGAAAAATCAGAGGAAAAGATAATAATCTAAATCAAAGTATCATTTAATCNATAACAAACTCAAAAAACAAACCACTATTTAGGAGAACAACGTCACCACTTAAGTTGTGTCGTCGCTAGTCATTGGAGCTGCACTACTCGTTGCCCATCGCGAAGTTCATCGAAAAATTAGAGGAAAAGATAATAATCTAAATCAAAGTATCATTTAATCCAAACTCAAACTCTTCAACTAATTCAAACCCAGACTCAATTTAATCAAATTAACAGCCTCGCCCTATAAAATTAACTTGTAATTCTTTATAAAAATTCAACTAAAGCCTATGAGATTATAACGCAGTTGCAATAAAGAAGACCCCAATTTATAGGCAAAAAAGAGAAGCAAGAAATATTAAATCTTTCACTTGTGAAGTAAAAAGTTACCACTACAGGACACTTGAACACCAAGTCATCCTATGGTCCAACTTTAATGATAGTTAAGGATATTTTGCGTCTAAAAGCATGATACAATGTAAATCTAATAAAATTATAAAGGCATGGTACAATATAAACTTAATCAAGTCACGAGGTAAATGAAAAGTGATGAATTTAAAGGGAGAAAACTCAATTTGAATGATTTTGATAGAGAGATTAGTGACTGTTGAATGAGTCTATTTGAGACCGTGAGATAAACTTATTAAAACCTACCTTATTTTATATTATAAATTACTAATTTGCAAAAATTCTTAAATTCTCTACAAAAGTGGAATATAATCAATTGATTACATTGTATTATATCTTTAAATTTAATCATCAATTAAGTACAACTGTCGTTATTATTCTTTCCATAGGCAACTATAGGACATTATGAAGCCACTTTAAGGGCCTGGAAGCATGAATTCAAGAGAGCCACCATATCTCTTAATAAGATAATAACCCTTTTAACATTACAACCATCACGACTACGAAAAAAAACTATTCATTGCAACAGTAATATCATGTTGATATTATCATGTGATATCACTAACAAGTAATATGCAGACAAATAAAAAAATAGACCCCACACAAATCAATAACTATTGGTTCATGTAAACAAATAACTTCCACCCTTCTTTCATGTAAAACTAATAACTATTCCAGTGAAGTTCACTTTGCCCATTTGAGATTTTGTAATTGGTGATACCATCTCATTAATACCAACGTGATATAACCGTTGAATTGAATATCCCCTCCACAACTACAGAGAAGTGATACGCCCCAAACAAGCAGAAACCTAAGACAAGTAACTGATTATGAAACTAATGGATATCATAAAATGATAGTTTCACCAACTTCAGCTGAACATACTTCAACAACTTTGTACTCATCAACGTCATTGATTTCATCTGAGTGAAGTTGAGCATTGTTTAACAATTCACAATACTTGTTGCCAGCTTGATCATCAAACTTATTCAAACCCTTGCTAGGTTCATTGAGATACTTTGATCTAATTTTAACACACTTTCCTTTAATGTAACGATACTCCCATTTTGGCGGTGGATATTTCTTCTTCAATTTTTCGTATTTGTCCAACATACCCAACTTTTGAAATACATCTCCAACCATTGTAACAATCAACACAGTTGGTCGGATGCCAAGCTCGTCCATGTCAGCAAATATCTGCAAAATCAAATTACATATAAGAAACATCCTAAAATGCAGTGAAAATCAAAATTTCTGATCTATAGAACACACCATGAAATAAATTCCAGTCAACTTTGAAAAGTAATTGCCAAACAAAAGCTCTACTGTTTATACAGTTCAAGAACACAGAAAAATATTAATGTGAATGCACATATTTTGAATAAATTATGCACATCATTGCATACTCGGTTTTACTGCACATCCAGATGCAGTAAAATTAGAATAACTCCACTTGTAAGTTGATATGTTTGTATCCTGCTATATAACAATATCGTGTTGCTGGATCCAAGGTAAGACCCTCGTGTAAAGGCTCCTGAGGTCAAACACATAATGGGCAGAAGGGCAGGTGAGAATGTGGGTGCATATTAGAAAGAAGAGACAAGGTAGAATACAAAATAACACCTTTAAGGGTACAGGAAGAGAAGTTCTATCACATGACACACAATAATTCTTAAGAGAAAATATAATCAGAATACCTCAAAAATATTTTCATGCATTCCCCTATGGTAGTATATAGAAATCATTTTATCATAGAAATAATGAGGCATGCTTTCCAGATTCTCAGAAAATAACTTCATCCAAAGCTCTTCGGCTTCATCAACCCTTCCATCCTTGGCCAAGGCATTTAACAATGTGTACTAGCTTCCCATTGTTCTTCCTTGACCTTTGCTTAACATCCACTTTGTCACCTAAAACAGAAAAACCAAAACCAAAACCAAACAAAGCCTCATCGCAATGAAATCCCACATAGAAAGAGAAGGTTTACTAAATGAAAAGTACCTGAATTATTCTCTTCCATTCCTTTCAATCTTCAAAGCTTTCTTCACTGTAATTAAAAGGAACTCTTAATCCCATGCAATAAAAGAATCAAGAGCCTCGTATACTTCCTCTTTGACATTGGATAATTCTTTTATCTACATAAGATGGCCCAAAGAAGTTAGAAATCCTAAATGCAACATAGAATCAGAAAGTTTAGTCCATATTATCCTTGAAGTATTCGTCCCACAATAAGAGTCAAGGTAATCATTTTCAATTATTAAATGAACAAACTTTTAAAGAACAATTTGTGCAATAAAATTTCAAAATATCATCCGCAGTCCACCCATAACTTTTTACAAATATATAGCCACAAGAAGAAAAAGAACTCACACACTCAACAAGCTTTACTGACTTGGAAATGGTTCCTATTCTCCTTCTGGTTTTTTCCACCCCCGAGGATATCTTGGTCGAGGACCTTTAGCAGCACATACCTGAAAATAATTACTACCAATGAAGAAAAAGACTCAAAAAAATAAAAAAGAAATAGGATGAAGAAGAGGAAGATTTCTTGATATTTGAGAACCAGGCCAAAACAAAAAAATAAACAAAAAGGGGAAATGAAACCTGAAAGAAAAACTAGGAATTGGACAGGATCCAATCCACATCAACCTGCTATAAGATCCCTCAGTTGTTAATTTTTACCATCTCTTATTGGCAACCAAGTATAGCACAATTCATTTACTCCTAAAAGCAAATAGGTCTTTTTGATTGTCATGTATAAATATTTTTTATCATCCAATGGACAATTAAGTATATCCAAGCACATTAACATCTCCCTCTCAAAAAAAATTTAAAATCAACACGCGATGACTTTACTTACAAAAATCACTCAAAAACCCGGAAGTACCATAACAAGAGCTGTGCCGTTGATTGAAACTCTTCAAATTAAGAATTCGAAAACTTAAATAGTCAAGCCTATACTTCGAAAATAAAAATGCACTTTTCCTTGATCTTACATAAGGACCAAAAATATTTTAATTCATGGAAAAGATTCTATGGCATATCAAGGAGCTGAGTGCAAAAATAATTATACAGTAACCAATTGTAGTAAAACAGAATGATCTGTAAGCTTCATGTAAGCAATGAAATATGCCACTGATGAGAATTTACCGAAAAATGAAAGTTTATAAATTTTTAATCAAAACGAAACTCACCACAACGCAGCGCCTACTGTTCTTGAAAAGTTCAAGTGAATCCAGAATCGGAGTAAATACTGCAGGAGAGTACTTCAAAAAACTAAGCATCCTGGAAAAAAGAGATAGAAGGAAGCAATTCAATAGGTGGTAATTATTTACACAAACAACAAAGCAGAGGTTTATAGACTGAATTATCCTATTCAAATCATTTCAAAACACTAAAAACATTCTCCATTAAATGATTACAAACTGGATCCACTAGACAGAGATTTCTTTTTCAAATCACTTAAATTAAGTGAGAAACGAGATGAGGAGATACTATTACCGGCAGATAATAGATAGTGGACTTCTCCCAAATTCATTCTATTCCCGATCTCTCTCTCTCTCACTCTCTGGCTCACCTTCTTTTCTCTCTCACACAGATTTTATGTTTTCCCCCTTATATTTTTGCTATTTTCTAAATATACCGGTCATTTGCCACCATGCTACTATTGAATAATTTCAACACACGATTCGATTGATTTTGAACATTTTTTATTGGTACAATTAGTATCTTATTTTTTTTTAATTACTGATTAACTTGGACTTTGATTTTTTTAAAAATTTTTTGGAAACTATAATTTTTCATACAATGATTTATTTTTGGTATGAATAATAACTCAATGATTTTATTTATGGAATATAAAAATAATTTAAATTTCATTGATTGATAAGAAATTCAATTTAAATTTTATTCAGTGACGATGTGTATGCGGTTATTGAGATTAAATATTAAACTGCCAAACTTTGAAAAAGAAGTATTAAATTTAGAGATATTATGTATTTTATGTGTGTTTAATAGAAATAGTTTTAATTTTATACAAAATTTTATCGTAAAATTAGAAATTAAACAAAACTAACATAAATCAATGTACAAACAATACACTTTTAATATATAATATTTAGATTATTTTTAATTTAAAATAAATTTAATCTGAATTGTTATTGTGCTTTTTCAAATTTAAGATACAAACGTATTAGAAATAGGAATGTAGAGTCTTACGATAAGAGGTTTCTTCATGGACGGAAAAATAAATTTAAGACTAACTGTAAACCGTTAGATCAAAATTTTTGAAATCATCTGAACTGTCGTTTATATTAGAATTACGTTATCTATTAGATGTGTTTATATTTTATTTCAAAACAATCTGAACCTCTCTTTATCTTTTGAATTCAAACTTTGTCCTAGATATTTGGAATAATATATGACATTTGGAAATCTGAAAAAAGGGTAGTTTGGTAATTGGGTGAATTACACTTTGAACCTTAAAAATTTTATTTTATATTTTTAAAGATTAAAGATTAAATTTTTCATGACATTTCTCATTTTCCACCTTAAAAGCACAGCATCACCACTCTCATTTTGTTCTTTTATAGATTAAAATTTTCACATAACAAAAAAATTATTATAGTGTGATCCTTTTATTAACTTTTCGTTAGTTTTTTTGTTAATGTCAATAGGTTGGATTTTAATAGAAAAAATGTAATATTTTTGATATATTCAGGGTATAGGATAAGAAATTTAATTTTTAGGGGTATAAAATAAAAATTTTAAAATTTTTAGGGCTACAAAGTGCAAAAGCGTTTAGTAATTTCAGAAGAGAGGGGGGGGGGGAGAGAGAGAGAGAGAGAGAGCTAGAGAGACCCCGAAGAAGATAAAAAAGAACGAACCACACAGATCTCAGCTCAACAAAATGCTAATGGTCGAACCGGCGACCGCCGTTCGATTCTCCGCCGGATGCTGCTTCGACCCGACCTCCCGCCGTCTCTCTCACTCCGGCAGCTTCTTCACTCCTGGGCAAAATTTTCGAAGATTAGGATATGGCTCTTGCGTCAGGAGTGATTTCATCAAGAATAGAGTGAGGGCTTCTGCCAAGGATGAGCAATCAAGCTCAGGTTCGGGTCCGGTGAAGCAGAATGCGAAGCCGCAGCGGTACCATCCGTTCGAGGACATTGAGGATTCGGCATTACTTGCCAGTGGGGATGCTATGCTTACTCCTGCTGAAACTACTCGGACTACCATTGAGGTTAGTACTTCAAAATGAATTTGTTTTAGCAATTCCTTTGAATATTTTCTATCAAATTCAGATGACAAGAGATCGATCAATTTACTTAGCATAAGAGTATACTCGTGAATTAGCTCTTCCTGCTAATTGCCCTGCAAATATGCCTTAATTTACATTGATTATGTTTGTGTTTCAGTGGAATTTACCTATAGAAACAACTTCAAAGGCATCAAATACCCGTTGCCTTATACTATAGGTTTAGTGAGTGTCCTGGTTGAAGGTGAAGGGTCCCTTCCACTGAAATTTGAATTGGGCTTTGAAAGTTTAAATAAAAAACGAATTTCTTGTACTTTCCTGCCTGAAAACAGACAAATAATCTAAATTGTCATTAGTGGCCTATCATTAACTACTTCCTGATTGGTCTTGTGCCTGGCTGTTTGTAATGTTGCTTGGAACGTTTCATTTTTCAGGTAAACAGCAAAGCAACACTGATGTTTTCAGGTTTAATTAGTGACGAAGTTCACGAGAACATTTTCTGGCCAGATTTGCCTTATGTGACTGATGAACATGGGAGTAAGATGCATATTTTGCGTTGACATTATTGTGTTCGGTTTATTTCCTAAATTTCGTTGTGGTTGGCTGCGTCATCATTATGTTAAATTGTTACCTGCTTTGGCTTCTTTCAGATGTTTACTTTCAAGTGAAAAGTGATGAAGACGTCCTACAAAATCTTACTTCTGAGGAAACCCTTGTGGTATGCAGCATGAACTCTCAACAGTCTCTCATTTACAGTATATGACATTTGTGTGTCTTGAGGTGGTATAAGAGTAGTGAACTAAGCTCTTAATTCTAAATGTGATGCAGCAAGTTATAATAGGGCTAGATACTGCAGAAATGATCAGCGAGATGGAGTCACTAAGTCAATCAGAAATTGATTTTGGTGTTGAGGAATTTGATGATGAAGATACTGACGAAGATGACGATGATGATGATGATGATGATGTTGACGAAGATGAAGATGACGAGGTGGCGACTCTTTGTGGAGTCTTATGCTTTTCTGGCTTGAGTATTGGAGCTATGCAGCATTCCTCATTTGATTTTGTGCATATGCTTGTTTCCAGGGCTGGGTTGCTATTCTAGATGATGAGGAAGATCAGGATGAGGATTCTGATGGATCGTTGGGGGACTGGGCAAAATTGGAGACTATGGAATCTTCCCATCCTATGTATTTTGCCAAAAAACTGACACAGGTAACTGTTATTGGTAAATGGTTTATATTGCAGAGTAGAATTGTTTTAGAAAAATGTATAACTGATGACCTCAATTTGGCAGTTAAGATAGAAAAATATATAGAATTGTTTTAGTTTAGTAAAATGTACATATCTGATAATGTCTCTTAAACAACTCTCTCTTCTGTGTGCCAAGTCTCTTTTCTTTTTGGACACTGGTTGTAAATGTACTTGGGTTTCATTTTTTTTGGGTGTAAATGTTCTTGTTGCTCAGGTTGTGACAAACGATCCTATAGATTGTATGGACCAGCCTTCTGCTGGTCTTGCGATTCAAGGCCTATTGAGACCTGCCTTTGTTGAAGAACACGGGGTCATCCAGAAGCAGATATCTGACCATCAATCTAGTAGTGCTGAGTCAAATCAGATTGCTAATTTTGTGGAGGATAAAGAAGAAGATATTCTGATTAATGGTCACAGAAACGAACCGAATTCATCTCAAGATAGCCCAATTTGGGCAGAGGAATTGGAGAAGGATGAGAGCCTGGGAAATGGAACTGTATTCTATAAGCTAGATATGATTAGGATTCAGTTAATTTCAGCACATGGACACCAGGTATGTTCTCAGGTTTCTTAAGTGAATCATGACAATACTTGCTTGTTAACTTTCTTTGGACTTGGAACATGTTTCCCTTAGTGTTTTTGGTATTCTTGCAGTAACTATTAAATATTATCCCTTTTCTGCAATATGAATTTTGGTCAGACCCATGGGCATCTTTCACTCAGTAACAAAATGCAAATGATTGCTAGAAAACTTGGAAACCAAATAAAGGTTTTTCATGTCCTAATGGAATGTAGAAGGGACTTCTAATGTCCCCCATAATTTGGCCAAGATGGAATCTTAACCTTCTCCCTCTTCTGCTTTTATATTTATGATCAAACTGGGAAGCTGACAACTTAATCTTGGGCAGCTTCATTTCCACAGACCTTCCGAAAAAAAAAACACATCATTTCCACAGTGTCTGAGATGGTGAACTTTTACCATTAGTTCTGTCATTGTTACTTTATAGTCTGTACCAACTAGCTTGCTTGGAAAAAAGTACTACATAATTCAAAGGAATAACTGGAGATATGTGGAAATGTGAGCATATTCAATCTAAAAGTTGTTCTCCATGCTGTTATGCTTACCTTTCCCTGGATGCATTGATGTTTTATCATTTGAAATAGAAGATGATGATGACCTAAGAAGGAAATATTTTTGCTTGTAGTTTGCAATCTTCTTTTTGCAATAACAATTATCAGCAAAACCATTTGTGTATTTGCTCCACAGACCTTTGTTGAAGTCGAAGATTTTAGGAGAGCCCGACCTGATGCAATTGCTCATTCAGCTGCCAAAATCATTTCTCGTCTTAAAGCTGGTGGAGAAAATACCACACAAGCCCTTAAATCACTCTGTTGGAGGTTCAAGGGTATCCAAGTGGAGGTAAACAATCAAGATTGTGAATGAAGGTTCTGAAAGTATGTTATGGCTGGGATATATATGCAAGCAATTGTATTTTACTTACATAGTGGTCTTGGTATATGGAGATGCTGTAGCTTTTTAATCAATACCCTCTGTATTTGGAAATTATGCCATATACAGATGATAGAAGTAAACATACTTTCTTNTGCAATATTTATCTCTCTCTGAACCCATTGTAGTAGAATCTTGATGCACTGTTAACAATATCAACACTTCGTTCTGAATCTATGGGTCTTGGAACAAACCCTTTTTTCGCAATTAACTTTGTTTAAGTAAAGCAAACCCACCTTGGAAAGTTACAGTAGACTTCCATTTGTCCTACCCCACGTAAAATAAACAGCTTTCTGACCAGTAGTTTGGACTGGTAGCAACCTTTCGACCTAATGGCCTCAGGCTCGGGCCCTCCATGCTCACTAGTCTCTACTGAATTTGGATAATATAGATATTTAAGGAAAAACTTCATAAACACCCTTTGTAGGTAGGTAGGTCTATTTTTAATCACACCCCCTTGTACTTCTTGAAACTTCACGGCACCCTCATCGAGATCAAGCTTTGAAATTACTCACACCCTCTGCCGTTAACAACTGTTTCTAATAACCGAAAAAGTAAAAGATTTGACTAATGATTCTTTCAAAATATCGAAGTTATTTGAATCTATTAATCAAATACTGTAATTTTCAAATAAAAATACTGTTCTATTGCACTTTCAAACTTATTTACTGATTTATTACAGTTTTTAAAAACGGGATTAATAAGAATGCTTTTAATACTTACAAAAATATTTTTTTTTCCCTTTTTGTTGTATCAATTGTTGAAAATAAAATTGTTAATTCTGCTATAAAAAATGAAAGCAAAATTATTTAATTTCATTTTCAAAAACTGCAGTAGATCAGTAAATAAGTTGAAAAGTGCAACAGATTGATATTTTTGATTGAAAATGATAGTATTTTGGTAATAGATTCAATGTTATCCCTTAGACTTGTACAAAAATTCAATTTTTATAACTTAACTATAGTTAATTTGGGGTTTTCAAATATATTCACAAAAATATTGTATTTAGTACATATAAAAGATTTAAGGATATTTTTGTAAAATCACCTTCTCCATTAAGGTCGTAAGGAAACAATCTCTGAAAAGGGATGTCAATGAAGTTTCAAATAATATAAAGGATATAATCAAAAATACATTTACCTACAAGGGATATGATTAATGACAGACTTATCGACAGAAGGTGTGAATGAAATTTTTTCATATTTAAATCAAGACGTCCAACCATTCAAATTTTAAGACTCGGAACAAGATTTTTCCTGGTTCTCATGTTTTATCTGTGATTGTTTTTGCTTGTTCAGTTTTGATGCTAAACTTTGGTATTTTGGGTTTGGATTATGCCAATGTTTTTGGGTTTTATTGATGCTTATTATCAAGGAAATAATAACAAATATCTGGAGTCTATTTCATAGAGATAAGTGCAATGTGATTGTTTGAAGGGAAAAGAATAGTTTGATTGTAGTANTGGATTATGCCAATGTTTTTGGGTTTTATTGATGCTTATTATCAACGAAATAATTACAAATATCTGAAGTCTATTTTATAGAGATAAGTGCAATGTGATTGTTTGAAGAGCAATACAAATAAGAAACGGCATCTAAGGATGTGAAGCAACAATGATATGATATGACAGGAGTGAGGTATTTGATATGGACATGATAATAACATATTTGGAATTAAGTATGATTAACCTAACTACTACGTGTTCCTCTATTATTCAAGCACTACTCCAATCCAATGGTTGAAAGTTGAAACCACGGACTAAAAGTCGTCAAAAATAAAATAGATTTTTATCCAAGGTGATGGAGACATGAAATTGAGTATGGCATTGAAGAGTTTCACAAAACCCCCCTATGACTATGATGTAAAATCTATGTTAAAATAATACGTCATGGTCACAGCCGCCATGGAAAATAGGGACAGAAGTTATTATGGTATTGGTATAGGATAATGTTGAGTTGATTTAAAAAATAAATTTAAAAATTAAATTTAATAATCTTAATTATTGAATAAATGGTAAATTCTAATAAATACTGAAACTTACAGTAAAATTAATGGTTATAATTATCAAGTCTAATTTTTAAATTTATTTTTTAAGTCCATGTAACATTACTGTATAACACATGGTAACTCAAATAACAATAACAATGAGTTGTACACTAAAATTTCATGAATTTTGACAACTTTTGTGAGTTTCGACTAAATTCGTAGAACTTATTTTTTTAAATGAACTTAAAAAATAATTTTAAGTTCAACTCAGTTTTAAATAATAATAACAATGAGTTGTAAACTTAAATTTTATGAATTTTGAAAACTCTTTGAGAAGATTGATAATTGAGTTGAATTTTATGAACTTGAATTGAACTTATCGAGTTCGTTTTTATAAAATTTTAAATGAGTTGTACCTGAATCAAGTCTAAAACGAATCGGATCTGAGCCGAATAACTCACTTATTTTACGTATAAAGAAGTCGAACTTTGCGAGTTCGAGTCAAGTCTTTTAAATTCGTTTTCTAAATAAATTTACAAAATTATTGAAACTTAACTCGTTTAAAACATAAGCCAAACTTGAGTCAAATTCTATCATAGCCGACCTAAATAACTTGACTCAATTATCAATTTTATTTTTTTAGGATCAACTCATAAAAAATTTATCTCTCATAAATATTCTAATTTCAGCGTAAATAACTTACGTTTAACCCGATCGACAAGAAAATTAGTCAACGATTAGGACACCTATGTCCATTAAACCATAAATAATATATTTGTGTTACTTAGAAACAGGAGAATCATAAGTTTGTTAGAGTAGCATTGTTGAACAGAGGACTTCAGTCAGAGTTGAATAATTCATCATTTGCCCATTTTCCAATTGGAACTTGATTGTCTTAAGGTTTTGAGATCTTGACCAACTAGTTCAAGATTTGATCAAATTACCCTCGAAATTACTAATAAATTGATTAACATCCTATGTGAAATTCAAATCATTCTTCCACCTAATAATTAAAATATAAAGCCACTGATAATTCCCATTCATGTAGAATCAATTATGAATCCACATATTAAACAATTTCTTAATAAGAACATCCAACAACAAAAACAAAAAAAGTTCAACCCCCCCCCCCCCCCCCCAACCAAAAAAAAAAAAACACCTGTTGTACACAGAATCTCAAGGGCACTAACCCTTCAAAAGAGTTGCAGAAAGGCAAACCATTTATAATATTTAATGAAACAAAACCTTGTCTTAATTGAATTCATCAAAAGAGCTAGCAGTTAGCAAATAACACAAGCATTTGGATCTTCTTCCACACTTTTAGCATAATATGCCCCCATGGGAGGGTATTGCTGATAAGGATTTTGATGATATGGCACTATGGGGGGGTGACTATAATGCTGAATATAGGCCTGGTAAGCCTTTTGAGATGCATCCTCTTTTTTCTTGTCATCTGGTTTTTTGGGTTCTTCTTTCTTGGGTTCTTCCTTCTTCTTCTCAGGCTCTTTGGCTGGTCCAACACTGAGTATCTCTGTGCTACAGATCTTCCTCAGTTTAGCCACTAGAGTCACTGGATCTACATCTCCTGTCACTGTTAATTTCTTGTCCTTGCTGTCCATGGCAACTGAATCAACCCCTGAGAAATTACAGACAGAAAACAATCAGAATTAGAGAAATTTTCAAAATTTATGATCTGGGTTTTCTTTGTAGGAGTTCATCATTAAGTTTGATCACTAGAAAATCTTAGGAAAAAGTACCTGATAGACCAGAGACTTTCTTCATAGCTTTTTGCTTGCCTTTATCATCGTGATAGGTCAATTTCAACACCACTTTCTGTTTGGAAGAAAGAACAACAGAACCAGAACATCTGAATCAGCCCATAATTTGTCGTACAGAACCAAAAAAAAAAGAATTAAACTACAATTGTCTTCATCCCTCACTTAATTCTGATGGCATATAGTAATTTCACATGAAAACCCATCGACAAAATCGAGAGGAACCCAGCAAAATAACACTACTAGAGAGCTCAATTACACAAAGATTTTGAATTCCAATCACTTGAAAACCTATTAAAGTCATCCGTACGGAGTTCTTAAAGAAAACCCAACTACTTTTACATAAACATGGAGAAGAGTGAGAATTTAAACCTTCATATTCTCTTGAAGTTTGGAGATCGGCGTAATATTCCCAGAGAAATCCGAAGACGTAGAGGCTTCAAGAAGGAGACAATTCAACGGAGAGAGAACTTCCTCTCAAAATAAGAAGACTAACGTAATTAGCTTTGCCAAAGTGGGGGGTATCTTGGAAGCATTTTATAACGAGAGAGTTGGGTCGCGAGACGAAAGAGAGACGGGGGGAGGAAGGGTGCACCGAGTCAAACTAGAGTCCAGATTACTATTCTACGGTCATTATTCTTTAGTGGGGGGTTGCGAAAAAAGACGAAGGAAGAAACAAATTGCGTGTATCTTATTCACGTTTTAAAACGACGTAGTTTGAGGTTTTGGAATATGAAAAACGGCATCGTCTTAACAAGTTTGCGATGCGACACTGTTTGGGCGAAGACTAGACCTAAAAGACTTCTCAAAGTTGACGGCCCATTGAACTTTCGAGGAAGAAACGTGAAGGAGGACCAGCCAGTGGTCTTTGTGCATCGCTTCTATGCGCTGCTGAACTGAACCACGTGCTATAAGATTCTTGGTTTTAAATAGTTGTTTGGTTTCTGTTAATTTACTCTTTGAACTATATATTCTGATTCAATATAATTTTTTTTGTCTAAATTCATTGTCATGAATATCTGCATTTTTGCATCACGTGTCTCTTAAACTATAACCCAATCTGATTCACTTGATGTTTACGTAAGAGTTTAGGCTAAAATTGACGGCAAAATTGGGATGAAAGGGTTATATTTAAGTTAGATTGTATAGTTTAAAAGTTAAATTGACATAAAACATAATTTAGAGATTTAATTGACATAAATAATATAGTTCAAAGGTTAAATAATTAATTAATTCAATTTATATCCACTATAGCATTTTCTAATACCTAGAGTATGCCCGTTGTCTCCTCTTCGTCTTCATTATGTCAATTTTATTAAATTGATCCCAAAATATTTAATTTGTACTTAAATGGTCTTTATGCAAACGCCCCGTTGAGTTTTAACAAAATTGATAAGGTGATACCGTCTGAAAAAATGACACGTGGTTATTTTCGTCAAAAAATTTAACAGACTATCTGGGTAAGGATCATTTAAACACAAATTAAGTTGTATTAAATTAATATAATGGGTATTAAATTAATAAAATGTGTATATTGTAAGAACCAAAAATATTTTTTTGTAAGTTTTAACCCTTTCGTTTTTTATTAACATTGAGAGTATCTTGTAGTCAAATTTTTGAGGATTAGTGATCCAAGAATAGTGAAAACACAAGAAAATCTCTGTTTTTCTTCTTCTTCTTCTGTTTTTTTTTTATGTATTGAACAACCACAGTTTGAATTTACAAAATAATAATAATTCTCTAATAGGCTGTATTCATTTATAAGAAGTCTACATATAAGAAACGTGAGTCTCACTCACTTTCCTAAGGAAAAACAAGTGGGACTCACTAGTTCATTAGTTTATTTTTAGATGATTACATCACCTATCACCTATTAATAATGAGGTGGTGTAACGTCACCATGAATATTTTTACTCATCCATTGCCCGGTCCAGCACATTTTTGTTTGTTTATACTGGCCCCAATAATAATTTTGATGGACGAATCTTCCTATGACGGTAAAATTACTCAATTGTCACATGAAAATTATTGATTTGAGTCGCTAAAATAATTTTTTTATTTATAAGGATAAGACTGTGTACAGGGATGGAGAGAGAGCGGAGGTAGTAAGGACAATTGCCTCTACCGAAATTTTGAAAGCTTTTAGGGTTAATTTTAAATTATAATTACAATTAAATTTTCTAATAACTTGCTCCTAACCATTTTTATTTATTTATTTATTGAACTAAACATTTAGATATAAGGTTTGCTCATATAGCCTTAATCTCATAATTCTTTTTTTAGTCTCTAATTTTTTTTTATTCTTTCTACAGTTATTCATTTAAGTTGTCTAGTCAATCCTTCTCTAAATTCGATTACCAAGACATAAATTTATATTGTTGACTAATTATTCAAGTTCAAATATATTATATCATATTCTAAAATTTTAGATTTGGACATTAACAAAATTTGATTTGATGAATTTGAATTATAAAAACAAGACCAATTGAATAATTATATTAGATTCAAAATAAAGTTTTCAAGACATTATCGTTCGGATGAATCGAAATCTTATCATTGGCAAGTCCACACGCAAAGTGATATGTTAAAATAGCATTATCTATAAAAATTATCTTTATTTTAGTACTTTATACAAAATGATTTTATGTTAATTTTTCTTGGTCAAGTCCTATCTTTATCACATGTATGTTATACTAGCAATTGTTCGTGACTGAAAACATTATATAAAAAAAAATCATTAAAAATACTGACAATTCATTTGAAAATAATTAAACACCCATAATACCTGAAGAAGGAATAACAGTTAAACCATGTTATGTTATTGTAGATTCATGTAAAAAATCACTCAAACTTAACATAAATTATATAGTTAATCATGTAAAAATTACTTGACTGATACAAATACAATTCATTTATTACGCTAATAATCAAAGCATAACTCGTGTAACACACTTAAAAAAATAAAATATATCTAAGTTGACACGACCCACTATCAACCCTTTCAACATGTTTAGAGTATACAGGTCACACTTAACACGCGAACATGATCTGTTTAGTACCTTCAACCTATCAAATTCAAATAAATCCACATTTTTAATACAAATCACAAACAATTTACATCTATGAAAATTACTGGGAGGGAAATAGTCTGACCCAAGTATCTTGATTAGCACAGCAAACCTAAATAGTCAAACAAAAAGATAATCCCAAATAACATAACACCACAATCCCAATTAGTTCACAATCTCAACCAATATTAACATATAAAATTCTAACTAAACTAATCTTGTGACAATAATTAAATTTAATATCTCCCCAACAGTCATACAAAGGAGTCTCTGTGATGGTGTTTATGAGCCTATCCTCCGTATTTTTGCAATTGAAAACAAAAGTTAAGTTAACCAATCGATCTGATTCAATATGTGGATTTTAAAAAAAAAAGACTTATATTTACTAAAATTAACAATTCTAATTGAACATAAAAACAACAAATAAGTAATTTCTCATTTTTTTGACGAATCAAATAATGAAATTTTACATCAAACATGAATTCAAATGTTAGAATTAATGCAACACAATAAAACAATTCCAATCTATGAGCACAACGAAGCCCAATTAAAAACATATGAAAGAAGTCCATAAACAGATCGCTAGCAAAGAAGCATGACCACTTTAGAGTACATGTAAAGAGGCATCGTGAATTCTAGAATTGTATCGTAAACAAATAAAAAAATTAAAACGACCATAACCCTGTGAATGTGATTGGCAGCAACTAAGTTGTCACGGTAGTGAAGGATGCTCCACATTGCTTTCAAGGAGCTACAGATCTACAGTTCCAAAATATAGTTATTGAATATTTCACTGAGCACTTTGAAAGAAGCATCTTTGGTATCTTTTGAAAATTTCTTTGGGTACCAAGAATTCTGAGATTGGTTTTTTTTTTTTTAAATCCAAAATAATCAAAACAGGATTTAACAATTCAAGGATAGATTTTCAAATCAAACATTTAGATATCAATAAATGAATTCAAACATCGACCATTTAAATTTGCAACTGATCAAAAAAATCATACTCAACTGAAATAAATCCATAAACACCTATATATAGAGGGAGATACACATATAGAAAATATAAGGAAATCCCTAACCAAAAAATATGACTATCAATTTTTTTTTTTAACCATATATGACTAACAATTCAAATCAAAAGAATTTTGTAGTGATCTCTTGAACTATCACCAAACTATTGTAAAAGTTTGTTTAAGAAGCTAAAAAGTAGAATCCTTCAGAAAAAGGCACCAACAACAACAAAGTAGAATCCTATATAGAATTGCTCATGAAAACCAATCACTAAAACATTTAAAAGAAAAAAGTATAAAAAGGCACCAGCAACAATGTTTAAAACATCACGACAATACCATCTGCCAAGGCATTATAATTGGGTTTTTGGTAGAATAGGTAAAAACACTACCATTAATGTGGAATTAAAAGTTCCAATGTTCCATAATTCCATTAGGAGATAGACTTAAGAATTTTGAGGCCAACAAAAAAAGGGGTCTTTCTAATATATCTTTCTCTATTTGTTTCACCAATAACCAAGAAAAAAGAAGGTAGTTTTCACATTTATTTCTGGCATTTTACCCCTATAGGCAAAAAAAGTATTCTAGTTGAGGAGTTTATTTTTACATTCCATTGACAAAATTACTGAGCATGATGTCTACACAAAGAAAAAAAAAATCCGAAGCTTCCATGAGATTGTACAAATAAAAAAATTACCACAGGCAATACTAAGGTCAAGCCAACTCACAACAGTCAACATGCGGCAATGAAACCAAATTGCAGTGATTTGCAATTCCATGATGCATCAAACTGGAAAAGCTCATTATAGGGACTTGGAATTTCCAACTGCAATCAAACAAAACCAAACACAACGCAAATCACAAAAAAAAAAATTGGAAAATGAGTAAATGAAAAGTAAGTAATTGATATATGTGTGCACCTGAGAAGTCCAACCTCCTGAGCCAATCTGTTTGATTCCCCTGAACACACCCAGCAGTAACAAATAAGGAAGAGAAATAGGCTTTTTCAATGTCAAATTCACAGCTTCTTCGATGTCCTTTGGTTTCTCACCCCAACATTTCAGCCAAAAGTTATTTCTCAAGACTTCTTTGCATAGACCCAGAATCGATAGGTTTGTGAGGATTTCAAGTTGTTGGGTCGAAGAGGATCGCCAATTGGGGAAGCCAGGGCCAATAGGAAAAAGTGGAAGGTGGATTCTATGGTTANTGTGAGGATTTCAAGTTGTTGGGTCGAAGAGGATCGCCAATTGGGGAAGCCAGGGCCAATAGGAAAAAGTGGAAGGTGGATTCTATGGTTAATAATTCAGCGTCGTCGAGGCCTTGTTCGGTGAATATGTCGAAATTCTTGAGATGGTCAATGAGGTTCTTGGTGTAGGCTGTGAATGAGAAGCAGACTTGTTGTCTTGGGTTTGGATTGGTAATGGCGATGGCGATTGGACGGGTTGGTTCTATGATTGTTGTTGCCATTCGGGATTGATCAAGAACACCTGAAGAGTCATGTAGCCTGTAGGTGTATGTGGAAAGAAAGAGAGACAGAGAAAGAGAGGGAGAGAGGAGATAGGATGAAATCGAGATATGTGAGGGTAGTCGTTTACATAGCATGGAGGGAGAGAGAGAGGAAGATTTGGGGGTAAGATATTAGGGCATGAATTGGGCATTGCGTCAGATATGAATATACATATAGAGAGGCCTATGGGAGAGAGAAAAGAGTGAGTCGGGGAAATGTTACTGGACGAGAAAATAAAATTTAATATTTTTCGTTGGGTCAAAATATCTGTGATGATTTGAATTATTTTTTAAATTGAAATTATATTGTTTGTTAAATATGTTTATATTTTATCTGATATGAATTTAAAAAAAAAATAATATAAAGAATTATTTTATTAAAAATGTTAAATTATGAATTTTTTTTTTTTTTTATAGAGGAAGAAATTTTGAGGAAATAATCATACTTGCAAGATTGAAATTTTTTTTAAAATTATTGTTTAGCTGTTTGTTTTAACTTGACGATTATTCTCACTGAAAAAACTGCTCGTGACTTTTGTCTTTGATCGTATACATCTAATCCTCTTCAAATTCCATAACCCCCGCATTTTTAGCTCCTTCGCCGTTTCGCTCTCTTTCTAACCACCTCGTCTTTACAACAAAACAGTCATACACACACAGAGCACATGTTGTCTCTGAATCCGAACCCACCCGAAGGCTTCTACTTAGACCCCATTAGCATGGCCTTGCCGAACCTCGGCTCTTTCTCTACGCCAACGTCCACCGCCGGTAATGTTTCGTCGTCAGACGACCCCATGAAGAAGGTTAGGAAACCTTACACCATTACCAAGTCCAGAGAGAGCTGGACCGATCCCGAGCACGACAAGTTCCTTGAAGCCCTACAACTGTGAGTTTCACCTGCAAATTGAAATATGAATTGGTTGTTTTGAGGTTTTAAATTAGGGTTTTGTTGCGGAAATGTTAGGGTTTTGAGTTGGAATCGATGATGGATGAGGTTTTACGTTAATTGCGTGCATTTGGATGTAATTAGGGCTGCGCACGAAGAATAGCGTATATGTGTGTATGCAGATATATAGGTTCATAGATAGCGTGCGAAATTGAGTGTTTTGGTGAGATAGAGAACGGGGTACTTACATCTAACGACCAAGGAGTCATCCTGGTCATAGTTGGAGATAGATTGACCTTCTGATTTAAGAATCTGGAGAAAGAATCGGTGTAGATATTGGAACAAGGAGAAAGTAATGAATGGACTCTGTGAAGGAAAGAGGTGAAGCCACTCCTGAAAAACTGATTGGAAAGCGAAGACTCTCTCTCTCTCTCTCTGATAGGACAATTGACAGATGGACTGTATTTTCCTTTCATTTGTTGCTTTGAGAATTTAAATTATGGTTTTGGTGTGAAAATGTTAATTGCGTGCATTTGGATGTAATTAGAGTTTTGTGATATGATATTGATAGATGGACTGTATATTTCTTTCATTTTGTTTGTTTTGGGGAATCTGTTTGGACATTTTCTGAGTTGTTTTCCAACAGCATGACGTTTATTCCAGAAATTCGAAGTTTATTCATGTGAATATTTTGTCTGTGATATTGGATTTGGGTGTGATACCACTTTTGGTATATGCTGCTGAGCCCTGTGGTTAGGTTATTAGTGTTATGTAGGTATGTGATAATCTTTATGGTATTTAGTGTGACAAGTTATCAGTAAGGGTTATCCCTTTAAAATGTTCTTGTTCATAACGTTTGCCTTAGTTACCTGACTATGGTAACGTTCATTTGGTGAATACAGCTTTGACCGTGATTGGAAAAAGATCGAAGCATTTGTTGGGTCAAAGACCGTCATCCAGGTAATATCATGTGCAAGATTTTCAATATTGATTGATGATTTATATTGCAAGATTTTCAGTATTGATTGATGATTTATATAGGTTATGATTTTGTATGGTTTCTTCAATTAGGTTGCTTATAACATCTTGTCAACTCGGCATTGCAGGCCACATTCGAAAGTGACATATAGTGGTCTGTTATAGTGGCCATTGCATCATAGGACAAAATGTCATTTACCACTTGGTTCTAATGAATTTGGGTTATTTTCAACAGGAAAAAGGGGGGGAGGGGTAAGGACGGGTGGGAGGTTTACCCTGAAATTCAAACAAACAAAAGTTGTGGTTGTTAGGCTGAACATTCAATTGCTGCATATATTGTTAAATGATTGCAATACAAGTTATAGTTCATTGGGTTGTTTGCATTGCTAAGGAAAAATTATCGAGAGTAGCCTCAACCTGCCCGGCCATCAGAGAGGTAAATTAGTAATCTAAACAGTTGTCTTAATCTGGCAATTTTAACTTTGGTGGTTGAGGACCTGAGGTTATACTGAAACTTCTTTCTGACTTGCTGCATCTTTTTCCCATATTGTATCTCATTACACAGTTGAGTTTGAGTATGGCTCATTTTGACATAATCTGTACTACAAATGATTTGTTTCTAGTTTACCATTTCAACTACGCCATGGGTGTAGTGAACTTAATCTATGAATGATTGGTAAAAGGTTACTGCATGGATTATTGTTCACATCAGTATTGCCTTATTTATGGTTTAGGTTGTTTTTGTGTATGTTTTTTTATTTTATTTCTTTTGGGTTTTTTTTTTTGGGGGGGGGGGGTTGACATTTCTGTGAAAGCAGCCACTGTTGTAACTGCGTTGAGGTTTCTTGTAGGAACGGTGCATTAGTCACTGTCATCCTTGTTGCCAGCTACTTCGTTTCCTTTGACAGTGTTTTTTTCTCTAACTTGCCATTGGTCAATATGCAGAGGGACAATTGAAGGAGATGTTTTAATCTTAAATTCCAGAAGCATGCGAGTGCAGACCATTGTCAGAAAAGCACATCTTGGCCCTGTGACAGCATTAGCTTTCTCGCAAGATTCAAGGTTTTCATTTAAAAAATTTTCTTTAATTTTCTATTCTAATCAACATAAGCTACAGCATGCCTGTCCTCCCTAAAAACTATAATTGATAGTGAATGTGTGTTTATAATACAGGTCTTTGGTCTCTGCATCCTTGGATTTGAGTGCAAGGGTGATAATTGTGAAGGATGAGGAGAAAAATGGTATATGCCTCGCTCGACTTTTTAATACTAGACAACAAATATTAAAGTATCTACAACTATTATATTACTCGCAATGGTTTGCCTGCCCATATACTCAGAACACCAGCAGCGGGCTAAAACTGGGTCTAGCTCTGATTTGAGGTACATGACCTGTGACTTATGGCCGTACAGTATCAGCCCAAGGTTGTCTTTATTTGATTGACCCTATTTTGGGAGACTGGGAGTTGACCTTCAAATCTACAGACTAATTTGTTCTGATATATTTTGTTTATTAAATAATATCTTAATGCAATATAAGCATGCATATGTACTACTCTTATTCTTGAGGCATTGTTGGAACGGTTTCTTCTGGATATTCCTTTTGTTGGGGCTACCTATTAGACCCCAACTCGGCTGGGCCAGGTCAGCTGGCTTGAACGTGACAGATTGTGGACCCTGTTTTTTATTCTTACTCACATATTATCCTTCTCAATCTATGAACTTATGTATGTTGCAGGACTGAGGTTGTGGGTTATTCTCTTCATCACCGTACTTGCAGTAGCTATGTATTATGCTAAAAGTGAAGGAATTCTTCCTTAGAAGCTAAAAGGTGAGAAATTTGCCTTCAGTGCGGCCAACAAAATGTTCAACTTTTTTACTTTATGAGAGGTCAGAATCACAAGTATTGTATTTGATTGTATGGATTGGTGGAGGCTTTTTCTTGTGGGGGAAAGCAGTATGGAACACAGGTTGGTTGGTGTG